GGTTGTAAATGACTAAAACTTACTGAACTGTTCACACTTTGTTAGTGAATTTTATGATATCATACCTCAAAAAAATTGTTTAAAAACTCTTAAGCTCATCTTAAGAGATGAACAGCACCTCTTACTTTTTTAAATTTTTATTCTTTTCCTTAGTGCTGCATGTTGAATCCAGGGCCTTGTGCATGCAAAGCAAGCGCTCTACAAGTGAACTATGCCTCCAGCTCTGAAAAAAATAAAAATTTTAGAAGTACTAATAGATGAAGCATGGGCAAGGTGGTGCACACCTGTAATCACAGCACAGGAGAGGCTGAAGCAGGAGGATGGGGAATCTAAGGTGAGCCTGAGCTATGTAGTGAGCTCCTATCTCAAAAGAACAAGATTTGTATACTGGTTTGGGGAAAAGAATTACACTGTTAATTTTGATTTTAAATGAAATTTAAAATAAAACTCTAGTAAGGACTCAACTTGTAAGTATATATACCCTCAAAAATGAATTACAGTGAGAAAACCTAAAAACTCATGCTATATGCTAAAATGTTCACATAGCTGGGTGTAGTGATCCATGCCTATAATCCCAGAACTAGGGAGGCTGAGGCAAGAGGATCACTGTAAGTTTGAGGCCACCCTGGGCTACGTAGTGAGTTCAAGGGAAGGAAACCTGGTCTACACAGAGACCCTATCTTAATCAATCATTCAATTAAATTAAAAATCATGCAAAAAAATTTCTAATTAGTTTTAATATACACTTAAATTACAGAATGAGTATTTTTTGTTTGCAGCTTAATTTTAGGTCATGTCACCACTCAATCCTTAAAGGACTTTTAAAAGTGTCAGCTAGAAAATGAACTTAAATTGATTTGGCACCTAATAATTTTTTATGTCCTTCAATTCCCTTATTTCTGTGTTACAAAGATAAGCAATGTATTCAAATGATGACATTTTCTTGAATGTAAGGATATCCAAGATCAAAGCAGTTCTTTTTGCAAATTAAATAATCACCTAGGGGGCTGGCAAGATAGTTCAGCGGACTAAGTACCTTCTCTGGCAAGCACAGAGAGTGGGGTTCCATCCCTGGTCCTACATGCTATGCCAGTCCTGCACCAGAGGCATGGTGAGCCAGCAATCGAGTCCAGGCATGGTGGTACATGCCTGTAACTCCATTGCTGGGGAGACTGAAAACAGGAGGATCACTATGTGGCCAAGTTGCCTACTCAGGCCCTGTACTAAACACATAAGTGTGTGTGTGGGGGGGAATAATCTAATAACCTAAATGCTTTTCTATCATTTCAAAAGCTTCTCCATATTAATGAACTACATTCCACAGAAAAAACCATACACTAAAAGGAAATGACAGTACAAATCACCTTTGTATAAAAATTTCCATATAATATTCTTTAATACTACATAACATATCCTAGCACAATACAATCAGCTCACAGCACATTACTGATAGATTAATAATACTGATATATACATATTTATCAGCCCAGGATCCATTTTTATCGCCAAATGAAATCCCTTCAGAATCTTAAGATGAACAAATTATTGGTTCTATCTAGGAGGTTATATACTGAGATTCTTTTTTTTAAATGTATTTAGTACAGGTTTTAGAGGGTATACAGGGTGTCACTACATATATTGGACTCATAGTGATTAGTAATCCCAAGCACTGAAATTATAGGCGCATGCCACCATGCTCAGTCTTAGTGAGATGTTTTTAAATGCTATACATTTTAAGAGACATCTGCAAAAAGAAAACAATATTTTAAAAGGAACTGTGTCCATATCTTACCTTAAAATTGAGTCCTAAACCAGAAATTAACAGTAGCAATTACATCACAAACATCCACTGGAAGTAAAATATAACCTAGGCCACCAATGGCGAGTTTTGATTATTACTGTCTTTATGTCAAGTAAACAAAAGGCCTACTGAGTATTAATAGGCTGGATTGCAAAGGGAGATCCAAAGCCTGCTAAAGTTCTGGTTAAAAAGTACACAAGATAATAGAAAAATAGGCAACTAAAATGACTAAAGTATGCAAACTCTTTTTTGTGTTTTTTTGTTTCATTTTGTTTTTGCTTTTTAAAGACCAAGTATGGAAGTCTAGAATTATCTCAATGAGAATGCTGATAAGGCATTTTTAGTATTCTATAATGTTAAGAAATGTTAATGCTGAAAATAAAGGCTGATACCCCATAGTCAAATTCAGAAGTCCTTTAGCATGCTTAGCTTTGCTTTTTAAAGACTTCATTTTCTAATGAAAAACAGCAATGAATAAAGGCTACTATTACTGATGACTCTTCACTGAGATTTAAGAAATAAAATTCTTTATCTGATAATTGGTGCTAAGTATCAAGGACTTTATTGGCGGGAGTAGACAGAAGAAAGTAGTTAAGAGGCTTCAGAGAAACAGCCCCCGCTGGCACATTACCCACTAGAGTAGACAAAGACTACTTGTGTGAATTCCAGATTATAATCACTGAAAATGTTCCTTCATATAGCCCTAAATCCAAGCTCTAGAACTAAATAGAAGCTAAACAACTTTAAATTTCAGATAAAAGTGATATAATTTGTGCTACTGAAATTGTTTCCATAATTTTACAAGTCACTAAACTTAAGTATTAAACAATTTATAACTTTTGATACAAATTAGGTTTGATATAAATTATCTTTTGTTTCCAGTTCATTTAACAGGAGCAGGACAACAGATGAAAAGATAATTTAATTCTATAAATGTGGAACTCCCTTTAAAAAACATGTTGGGTTGGGACTATGGCTCACTGTCAGAACACTTGCCTAGTATAGATGAAGCCCTGGTTTCAACTGTCACCACTGTAAAAACAGCATGCTTTTCTTCTAGTTTACTGATCTATAGGACTGAGTCACTCTTCTGGAACAACTTTATTTACTTGGGACAAGAAAACCACTACTATAGAAAAAAGGGAGCAACTAACAGCGTGCCTACTGGGCTGCTAGTCCTATATTCAGTAATTATTTTGGTGTCTTTAAATAAACAAAATTCTGAAATGGCATTTTTAAACAAGTTGACATTTTAGTGAATGTTAAACTTAGTTTTATTTTTTATTTTTTTGGTGGAACTGGGGATTGAACTCAGTCCCTTGCGCTGGCCAGGGAAGCACTTATTCCACTGAGCCATCTCTCCAGCCCCTAAACTTAGTTTTAAAAACTAAGTATTCCACAATATGTTAACCATTGTTAATATCCTATTATCTTGTTTTGAACTTCTGTATCATCACTTCAGTTTTTTTTCTCTTAAATAAAAATGAACCTAAAAAAAAAAACAAAACCAAGTATTCAAACTTGTAAAATAAATTTTACATAAGTACCATGCAATGACCAATTACACCACTGGAGTTCGTAGAATAAATTTTAATACCTAATTTGGATGTAAATATCTGGTACAGGTTGAGAGACCTTTATCTGAAGGGTTGTTATGATGCGAGGATTGAACTTTGAGCTCCCAAATAAGATCTATGCTCTACCTCTCAGCTACAACCACAGACCAACTCTCACCTGCAATGCTTTGAACCATAACTGTTTCAGATTTCTAAGTTTTCAGGATTTGGGGATATTTGCATAGATTTTCCCAGTTGAGCATATGTAATCTAAAAATTAAAATGACTTCAGAAATCAAAACTTTTTTAAGTGTTACATTGGTACTCAAAAAATTCTGGTTTACAGATGCTCAACCTCTCTAGTATTTTTCATGGGAAAAGAGAGGTAACTTCCAGTTTAATCAGAAACTTCTTAAGCAATAATTTGACAGCAGCACAGCAACAGCCTGGAAAGTATGAAGTCCTGAGTTCAATTCCTGGTACCAAAATCCCCTACAATTTTGTTATTCAAAAGAAAATACCAACATAATGTTCCTTAGGCCTCTTTGTTCTTTAGTAGGTCACATGTTAAAATACTATCATCTGGTATATGTCTGTAATGCCAGCCCTCTGGGAGACTAAAGCAACAGAATCACAAGTTCAAATTCAGGCTGAGTAACTTAGTGAGATCCCATCTGAAAAAATTTTTAAAAAAAGGTATCAGGCAAAGGTGCTGGGTTCAATCCCCAAAATCACAAGACAGACAAGACATGACACGACACAAGACAAATCATCTGTAACTCCATCTAAACTCTGAACCCTCTTCTTTTTTAAAAGGTAGAGTTTCTTTTCTTCAAAGTGTTCATTTCATCATATTACTTCTGTGGCTAATTCATATTAAAAGATGTTCATCCCCCCAAAAAAAACAGGCCTACATTGCACCTTATCTGCTACTGCTATGAAGGCATGCATTTGAAGAATATAAACTACAGCTTAAGATATGTGTATTCTATTCAGCAACTATTTACCTTTTTTGTAAAGGTACAAAAATTCTGTTCCTAATGAAAAACAATGAGCACCCTCTAAATGATATATGTAACTGTCAAACTAAGTTATACCATAGTCTCAATTGTTTATGCCTGACCAAGATTTCCCCATATATATTCATTTCATGATCTTCAATTGTGTAATTAAGTACTTTACAGTTAGGGATGTAATCCAATTCCTACAGAAATTTATGATCAGGGGCTGGGGAGATAGCTCAGTAGAATAAATGCTTGCCTGGCAAGTGCAAGGGCCTGAGTTCCATCCCCGGTTCCACCAAAAAATAAATAAATTTGTGATCTAAAAATGCAGCCTTTTAAGCCAGGCATAGTGGCGCATGCCTGTTATTCCAGCACTTACGGAGGGTGAGGCAGGAAAATCACTGTGAGTTCAAAGCCAGCCTGGGGCTACACAGTGAGGTCAAGGCCAGCCGGAACTACATACTGAGTCCTTTCTCCAAAAATATATATCCTTAAGCAATATTTGGACAGTCCCTAAAAAGAGCACCCAAGAATGCTGTTTAAAATAAAAGCTATTTTTGGAAACAAAAAAATAAAAAAAAAAAAAACAACAGGAAGACATTATTAGAAGTTCTTTCAGTAACACTGAATTATACACACCTGTAATATCAAGAACTGAAGGAGATGCAATGTAGTATCTATGAACTGTTTCAAGAAGTTGTGCACCATGGCCCTGACCTTGAAATGGAGTCAGTATCAGCATCTGGCTGTAGTAAAGAAATTTTTAAAATTAAAACTTTACAACACCCTGGCCAATTAAAAAATTGTAAATCAAAAAAAATTACTGCTAATCACTCTAGTATTGTGGATAATTTAAAGTTTGTAATTTTTAGAATCCAAAAATTATCAAGATACTCAAAATTGGTTTACTCTTCCACAGTTTCAAAAGGAACAATGAAATAAATCAGTACATAGTCAATGAATAATGGAGATTTTTTTAAACAAATCAACACCATAATAACAAGTATTGGAAACTTCAGCAGTTCCTTCTTCTGAAATAAAAGACAAGGCACGTGTTATACTGCCAATTACCTTACACGTGGCCGGGTTTTGTCTGGGTACACATAGTAATTATAGACTGTCATGTAGCCTACGGTTGCAAAGAGCGTAGCTCCATCCTTATTATACTTCTCAAATCTGCAGATAAAACAGAAAGCCAAGCAGGTCAATTACAGTCGCGCTCCCATGCAGTGTCCATTTTCTTTTCCATTCTCTGACTGAATTTTCAGTGTCAGCAAGCTACTCTGTGAGGGCCCAATGGGTACACCTGCTATGTTCTGAATGTACAATTCACTTAATTGGTGTGCAGCAACTTGGATAAATCAGACCTCTTTACATCACTTCAGTGCACTTGCCTATTATAAAGATGAATAGGTGGCAAGTAAAAGAAAACACAGCAAAGCTCATTTTACTGTTTAAGCCTACATTCAAGGCCCTAACGGACAACAGCATTGAATTCAGCTCTATTCTCAAGGTCTCCGAAAGCATAATGAAGGAAAACTCAAGCCTCATAAACAATAGTTTTTCTTTCCTGGGAAAAATATCATTATACTGTCCCAATAATTGGGCTGCCACAATTAAAATGCTGGCTTTGTGAAGGTAATAAGGTCTACTGTTGCTTTAGAACTGTACTTACACTAGAAAGTAGTGCCATCTTTCATCATCCACGTCAATAAAGCTAGCAGTTTCAATAAACCACATCAAAAAGGTCTGAAGCCTTTCATGATATTCTCGAAAGCCTCTACATGTCATGTCAGCCTAGGGAAAAAGCCAGGAGAAGTCAGGTGAAACTCATCACAGAGGTAAGTGAAAGTCTGCAGAACACAAAACTATCCTGTGGGAAAATGTTTAGAAGTCTCGGACTAAATGTGTACACACACACACACACACACACACACACACACACAGATGTTTTTAATGCCAATAAAACACTTGTTTCCTAAAGCTACACTAAATCACTAAAAAACCAACAAAATTGCACACATGTTTCAGACACATGGAGTGATTTTACCCAAGGAATATTTAGATTTATCTTTACCTTGTATATCTGAAAAGTAAAATTTTCTCCTGTTGGACTGAGAACTGAGTATGTATGGAGTAGCGTTCCAAACGGCTTGAAATCAACTTCTTTTTCCAACAAAGAAAGAAAGTCATTGGTGTTTGTGCAAAATCCAGGTGGAATGATTTGTCTGATTTTGCCCTCCACATCATCTGCCTAAGGAATGGAACATAAAAGACATAAAAAATGAGTAACAAATTTGGCTATTGAGAATGTTTGATTTTCTGAAAAAATAAAACTTCAGCTCACAAACTGAAGAACTAAACAGTGAATCAGAGAAGGATTAGTTTCATGTATACCAACTACTGTCACACAAATCTGAGATGAGCATAACATAACAATAAATTAGAAGAGACAGGTAGCCTATCATATGCAACAATGGCAGTGCCATAAAATTTCTAACATCCTGTACAAAATGCTAACTACAACCCTTCATGACAATCTGAAATGGCCAAAATAAAAGGCTGCTTATTATTTTATATGTGTCAAACACAGCATATTATCTAGGACATGAAAATATCACTAGCAATAGTGAAGTAAGGTTACAGCCTGACCAAATGAATGGCAACTTCATAGTCAACAAATAGACAGCAACTCCCTCATATGTCAAATTAGGATGGTAATTTTTAAAATATCCCCACTTAGGAAATATACAAATTATATGAATGGATATATTATTCACTCATCTCTATAATGTGACATAATTTTTATAGACCTGGATTTGTGGTACTACAAAAGAGACAAGACTGGACAACAAAATTAAACTCAGAGATTAAAATTACCCTCATTAAACAACCTCAATGAATGTTAAAACTATCAGCTGAGCAGACTTCATAATCCTTTTCAAAACCCCAAAAGACCACTTGATTGAATACATTTACTACTTCTCTTTAACCATGAATATTTGATGAAGTCTTACAATAAAGTATTACTGCTTCTCACCAGGCAATAAAACTTAATGAATTGGTCTCAACTTAACAAAACCTTATCCCTCAATACAGTCCCTAAAAGCCTGACATTACATTCAACAAAATGAGCTTGCATTCTATTCAAACTTTTTCCTGAACAATAAAGCCAGGTTTTTACTTAATGGAGTTTGCCGTGAGTTCAGCTGTAATGTTTGTATTGTATCTATTTCCACAAGGACTGACACAAGAACACTTTGTGTTAACTTACTAAGCAGCTCTTTCATACCGTTTACATGCATGATGGGTATTAGTTCTAAACCAAGACCCTTGCTACTTAGCATTCAAAACAGGGAAATTAAGATGCTTAGGACAAAATACACTACAAAAGGCTAATACAACATGCTACTAATTCCTGTCCTTTCAACCATCTTTTAACTAAGTAGAAGCAATGCACCTGCAGATGAATAGCACTTATTATCATTCAGTTACATTTTCAGATACAGAACCAAGGATGGAGTTTATCACAAACAAGTTTTACTTTCAATGCTCTGGTACCACCAACATTTATATATAACTTGTTTATAGCTACAAAAATAAGAGCTATTACTTAAAATATAGTTCTTTAACATTCTGCCCAACAATTTATTTCTAGTATGTACATTAATCCTTGAAACCATTCACCCTCAAGATCAAATAAATTGCACTCAATAGAACCATTTTTTATTTTTAAAATCTGTACTACTTGATAAATGTTTTTCCCTGATACTATCTAATGTGAAGAGATCATCAGAAGTATACTGTCAATAACTACATGAGTAAATTATTGTTAAGGAAAGCTGTAAAATGTTTGTTAACAATTTAAATCTGAAGTAATTAATCCATAAAATAGTATAATAATAATTTAGGTTTTAAAAATTCAAGAAAAACTTTTAAATAAAGGTTTATAATCTATTCAAGTTTAAAGACCACGTCAAGATATATGTGTGTGTGTGTGTATATATATCACACACACACACATATATATACACACACATATATACACACATATATACACACACACACACACACATATATATACACACACATATATACACACACATACATAATTTTAATGGTTAATAATTGTCCTTATGTCCTCTCTTTTAAATAAGGCACTGAAAAGCATGCATAATTCACTTAACCTATCGTGCAACATATCTAATTTATATGTTTTTAGAAACTATAAACTTCAATGGCAGGTCTAGTGAAAGGCAAAGCTCCCCCAAAGGTCTGCTCAATAAAGTTGGAAGAGAATACAAACTTTGAGTCTTTAAAAGATACTTACTCATTATAACATATATCTTCAAATAAAATATTTTTCTCAGGGCAAGTCTATACTTAATTTATACACGGGGGAAAAAAGGCTAAGTTTAGGGCCAGTGAGATAGCTCAGCAGACTAAGTGCTTGCTTAGGCAAGTGCATGGGCCAGGGTTCGATCCCTGGCACCACATGCTGTGCCAGCCCCACTCCCCAGGCACACTGAGTCAGCGATGGGAGTCTGGGTGTGATGATGCATGCCTGTAATCCCAGCACTAGGGAGGCTGAAAACACAAGGACCACTATGAGTCCAAGCTGCGTAGTGAGACCATGCACAAAAAAAAAAAAGGCAGAAAAAAAGCTAAGTTTAAAAGCAAGGAAAACACACACACACACACACACACACACACACGTATATATGTAAATATTCACAGATACAAATGTGCCTTATTTACCTAAAATGTAACAACTAGTTTTTCAAACCTAAAATTTAAAACTTTGGTCCACGGGGGGAAAAAATTACATTTATCTATTAAATGGATTTTGCTTTAAATATCTATCTGTCTGTCTGTCTGTGTCTCTATCTATCTATCTATCTATCTATCTATCTCTCTATCTCTCTATCTCTCTATCTCTCTATCTCTCTATCTTAGCTTTCTAAAATATGTTTGACATGCCTGGCTGGACTTTTACTTGTTTTTGTGGTATTAGTGTCTGAACCCAGGGCCTCTGCACTAAGCTACACATCCTCAACCATTTTTAGAATTTGAGACTGTGGCTAAATGGCTGAAGTGCCCAGGTTGAGTTTGAAATTATAATCCCTCTGCCTTGGCATCCCAAAGTGCTGGGATAGCAGACATGTACCACCATACTTAACACATTTTAAAAATGTGAAGCAGGAGACAGGAGGGATAAATCTCTGGCAGAGTACTTGTCTAGTATATATGTGTGAGGTCCTGGGTTCAATATCAGCACTGCATTAAAGACAGACCCTAAAGCAAGTATTTTTCTTAATTCCCTTTTCCCCATCAAAAACACTCAGTAGAATGGGAAATGGGCATGATGACCAACTGTTTTGGTTTTTTGGCTATTTTAGGATGGAAGCGTGTCATTCTACAAAATCTGCACTTCTATAGAGGTTTTATGTAGGCAAGTGCTTTCTAACACTATATTTAAAATGGTCTGGGATGTTGCTCAGCTCAGCACAAGGCCCAAAAGGTACAGTTCCTGGTACCAGAAAAGGAAAGAAAAAAATTATAATCATAATGCTTTTAGAAAGGAAATTGTAAGAATTGTTTTATTTATTTTTTTTTTTGGCGGAACCGGGGATTGAACTCAAGACCCTTGCGCTTGCCAGGGAAGCGCTTATTCCACTGAGCCATCTCCCTGGCCCCCTGTTTTAATTTTTAAGACTTTGCAATTGCAACTTAAATGTATACTGCTGCTAGACAATTTCTCACCCCCAAATTGCTCTTATCTAGACACCTGTTCTCATCTTTTATTTTCTACAGTCTTAATATATTTGTGGGAAGTATCTCAAAACTTCCAATGAAAAGTACAGCAAAAGCAAAGTTGGTAATTATTAGCAAGTATAATACTGCTTTGAACATACGCTTTTATATAAAGCATATGAAGTCACAAAATATGTATTTTATGTATCCCGGTATTTTATTAATGTATTTTCATACCTATACACATCAACAGTCCTGTTTGTAATCAATAAAGTTTCTAAATCTTAAAAAAAATAAAATGTATGTTTCATTTCAGTTAAATTTAAAGCATTCATTTTTCATATCAGCTTACTGGTGTGGATAATAAAATCATCATATACAAAAATCCAATCTAATCATTTTTAATTGAATGCAAAGTTAAAAATGAACTAAAGCTTTCTAGGTAACAGTCTAGATTTATTTGTGAAAATCCTTGAAAAATTCCTTATCTTCAGGAACATTAGTCTAAACTTAAAATACAGAAAAATTAAGAAATTAAATGGAATAAATGAATTTAGACTTCAACCTAGTTATTTTAATAAAGACAACATTCCTTACAATTTTTTTTAACATTTTATGACTTAATTTTTTTAAAGGAAAGCATAAAATGAACCATTCTAGTTATAGTACTTTACAGTAAGTGGGTCATGATGAAATGTTTTAGATTGCATACGCTCTCAATAGTCATTTCAAGTACCAGTATTCTATGCTTGTTACACATGAAGATGTTCCTATGGAGCAATTTTTGCTTCTCCTCATCACCGCATGAAGCAATGTGTCTGAAAATAACTATAATGTTATAAATATTTACACCTGTATTTGAGTGTCTAGGCTTCTTTAGTGGTTTATAGTGAGTTTTTGAAGTTGCAACTAAAGGCATGTTAAGTAAGTAGAACATGCTGTTCTGTTCTTCGTTAAAATAGCATAAGAGTCTTACATTATTGTAAATCTAAGAATACCCTAGATATGCTACCAAAAGAAAGCAAACATGTTCTATATCGATTTTGCTCAATTTCATATTCTCTGATAATATTTGAATGTAGACATCTGAAAACTGACACAGAAATTTAAAATATCAATTTTTTAATTTCTCTATCAAACATTACTTTTCCTTTTCTCAAGATTAAATGTTTTGTAAATAAGTAGGACTTTCCTATAAAGAAGGTAAAGATTCCAGATTTTTTTTGGGGGGGGTGAGAGTACTGGGGAATAAATCTAGTGCTTTCACACAAAGCTGTATGCCCAACCCATTTTCAATGCTAAAGACTCATTAAATTCCCCATTCTCAATTTGAACTTGCCATCCTCTTGCCTTAGCATGCTAGATCACTGGGATTACAGGTGTGCACGACCACACCTAGTTACAGAAAACTTTTCAATCTTACAGTACTATCAAATTCAACCCATATTAGTGGAAGACAAGGACACAATAGCTGAAATTCACAAATATAAACCCACCTAT